TAAACATGATAGACAAGTTTAACATGGCGGGATGTATAAATTTTACTGGTGGATAACTCATAACACCAAAAGGCCGATTGAGAGGGAGAATAACCAAGAAAGATTCACGGTGAGGAACGGGGACTCAATTTGACAGTGTGATAGGGACGGAGCCATGGATAACAAAAACACCCAAATGGTTTAAGTTTAGTATAATCGGGTGCATGATGAAAGAGGGCCTCATATGGAGTTGTATTCTGGAGCACTGATGTAGAAAGGCAGTTGATAAGATAGACCGCAGTATGAAAAGCATAGGTCCAAAAGGTCATAGGTAAACCAGCAGTGTGGAGGAGAGACAGACCGGTTTCAACAATATGACGATGACGCCGTTCGGCTGTGCCGTTATGCTCAAGCGTGTGCGGTGGTGTAGTAAAATGAGAGATACCATGTGCATTAAATAGAGGAATTAATTTGAGAAACTCTCCACCATTATCAGAAAAAATTGTTTTAATGGACGCTTGAAAATAATTTTCCACCAGTCGTTTGTATTGAGGAAACAATTGAAACACATCAGATTTATGTTTCATGGGATACCACCAGATGTACTTGGTGTAGTGATCAACTAGAATAAGATAATAGTGATAACCATCAAGAGAACAGGTAGATGTGCTCCAAACATCCGTATAAATTAACTCAAGAGGATGATGGCTTGTCAAAGTGTTAAAAAAGAATGGAAGTTTATGACTCTTATTGATATTACAGGACTCACAACTAAATTGAGATAAAGAGGAAAACGAAGAGAATAGTGGACACGTCCTAATGATAGTGCCCATGGTTTTATTGTTTGGATGACCAAGACGATGATGCAAGTCAGACACGGACGCCACACCCAAGGCAGTGTTGTGCACGGCAGGAAGTTGGAGCGTGGCTGGCTGGCGTGGAATGAGGTATAGATCATTTTGATTGACTCCTCGAAGCAGAGTTGTCCCCGTTTTGACATCCTTCACAAGAAAATGAGTTGAGAAGAATTCAACAGAAACACGATTAGTTTTGCATAGTCGGGAAACCGAAACAAGATTTGCATGTAATTTAGGGACACATAAGACATTGGAGAGTAAAAGCGGACTTTTCGAAGTGGGTAACAAAGAGTGTCCAGTGTGAGAGATAGTTAAAGTCTCACTGTTACCAAGACGAACCTCATTGGGACCACCATATTCCATGAAAGAGTTGAGAGTCGATAAATCCGTGGCAGCATGGTGAGAGGCACCGCTATCAATAAGCCATTGTTGATCAGCGATACCCGGGGAGATAGTAACATTTGTAGTAGGAGTAGAACCATTAGAAGGCCCAAAGTGACAGTTGTTGTCTTTCAAGAAACGCTGGAGTTTTCTGCAAAACCGAGTGTCATGGCCGGGAAAATCACAAAATCGACAATACCGCTGAGAACAACCGCCGTTGGACTACCCAGACATAGAGCGGCCACCTCTCCCACGGCCACCATGTGCATGGCCATGAGATGAAGCCCCACCTCTTGAAGTATGGTATCGACCACTACCAGTGTGCATGCGCATGGTGTTGGCAGTGGGCACAAGGGTTTCGGTGGCAGCGTTTCGGGCTGCAATTTCTCTCTCATAATCAGTGAGAATATCAAACAATTCATCAAGTCAGATACCATCAGGCCAGCCGCGTAGAGACTTATAAATAGACGAGTAGTCATTGACTAGTTGAGACATAATATAAATCCCAAGGTCATCATCTGTAACCAAACTGCCAGCCAAAGCAAGATCTGCTGCAATTTTAGTCATGTCTGCAATATAAGTATCAATACTGCGATTTCCACGAGGGTTTTTGGCCAATTTGGTCTTGAGCGAGATCACGCAGCCTCGAGACATACCAGCAAGACTGGTGTTGAGGCGAGTCCAAGCATCGCATGACGTTTCAGCAAGAGCGATGAGCGATTGGACGACATCAGTGCAACTCCCAAGAATTGCACTAAGCAGAGTGGCATCCTGCCTATACCAAATGGTATATTCAAGGTTAGGTTATTTGTGCTCCGCATCCAAAAATGGGGAAGGAGCCTTGAAGGATCCATCGACATACCCTAAAAGATCAAGATCAATTAGGGCGGTTTGAACTTGACGACGCCAAACAAGAAAGTTTGTTTTCGTCAGTTTGATGGGAAAGTGTTTTGAAGCAGCAAGTTTGATCAACTTCGTGGAGGGAGATGACATACTGATATTTGTTGTGGGAGATATGATCGCCCGGGAAGAAGATCGGAAAAAATCTCGTCTAGAGAGGAGGCTCTGATACCATATAGAAGCTAAATGCTTGATGATTTTATTTATGATATCACAAAGTATTTATAATGAAATATACAACAAGAATTACACCCACAGCTCCTACACGTGAGGCTAAAACCTAAGAAAGAGTTATACATATACCAAACAACACAAATGGATTTACATAAGAATATGCCAAAGGAAATAGTTTAAGAATTATCCTTAATATTATTAACATTCTTGTTTTGGAGATAAAAATATAAATGTTTTATTTTGGTTATTTTCGTATATTTTACTTATTTACATCTTATTAATCTTTAAGAAATCAACATGGATAGAAGTAAAAAAAGTATGAAAATACCAAAAAAAGAATCTCAAGTCTTTTAAGACCAAAAAAGAGTATATTGGCATTGTAATGTAAGAGTAAGCGTTGGAAGTATGATGGAAAAGTGATGACACTGTAATATGTGAGTGTGATCAGTCAACCATCATTGGTGATCCACGGCGGCACTCGGGAGGCCGACGACGATCGATGGTAGTGTAGCGGTAGTAGTGTGATAGTTATAATATGACAATGTGGTGAGTGTGACAATATAATAATGGCAGTGTGAACTCCAATTTTTGTCTTAAAAGACTTATGACTCCTATTTTGGTATTTTTCCTAGTTTTTTCCTTCTATCTAGGGCGTTTTTCCTCAATCTTTCTCACTTACCAGTCAAAATCATTGGAGCATTAATATTTATTTTTGTATTAATGTGTTTTCAAATCAATGTGGGGGAGAAAAAAAGTTTAATTTTGATATTTTTAAATTAAAACTTTTAATCAGAGATTTAGAATCTCTAACTTAAGATTTTGGTTTTTAATAATGCGGGGGAGAAGAATAAATTTATATAATCATTGCGCGGGAGGGGGTGCTGGAATTAATTTTTTTCGCTAATATTAATTAATATGGAGGAGAAGAATTATATTTTTTAATTATAGAGTTATAACATCAATAATTTAGATTTTTTAAAAGTAATGCAAGGGAAAAGAATTATTGGATCACTAATACTTTTTATATTAATGTATTTTTGAATTTATACAGGAAGAAAAGTTATAGATTTGTAGAACTGCATTAAGCCTGATCATTTATATTTGGCGTTTATATAATATGTGCCATAAAATTCAAGTCATTTAAAAAATCCACATTGTAGAATCGTAAACAATTTCATTTAACTCTGTGCGTGGCACATGTAAAAATACTAGTATATAATTATGAGAAAAATTAGTACGGAGTAGTAATAGGTCAAGAGAACTGTAAAAAATGTACAATTATTGATTTTTATATAGTACTTTGTATTATTTTTCATTTCAACCTAAAAAAGCTCGAAATGTTCTACCAAACACATATCAACTATGCTACACCTACACCAAAAAGTGTACCCAAAGATACATCAAAGATATACACTAACATTTAGATGGTTCACAATGATACAAAATGCTTGTGTATTAATAAATATTTGCATTTAGATTTTGTGTCTGTGAGAACTATCAGTCTAGTATTACACTGACACAAACTATCACTCTAGCATTACCTACGATGCATAAATTGGAGTACAAATATTGGGATAAAAATAGCTTAATCCAACACATATCAAGCGGACCTCATAAACTCACAATTATTCTTCTAATCTCACCGCTAAAGCTATAACAAAGAAGCAAGTGTAATACAAAAGCAACATGAGAGAAATAGTAGGAAAAAAATGCTATCAATTAATATTCTAGATAGATAAACTCTGATATTAGAAAAGAAAAAAATAAAATACGAGTCCATTTAATAAAAACATTTTATAAAAATCATATAACCTATGTATCAATTTTTAAGTGACGATATATAGGTTGACATCAATAAAATCGAACAAGTAGACAATTTCTAAAATCTTTATGTTTTGCTATGACCCAATGACTATCAATAAGAGTCTAGGTCAGACAATGTCATTTGTTAGATTATATTTTACCAAAATCAGTATTCGCTCACGGTTAACTTTGTTACTGTTTCGCGAGTGAATGCAAAGACATAATTGAAACTATTAGTTTTAAGTGACGATGATAACCCTTGCAACTTCACCAAAAATATAGTATACCCCAAAGTTTTCCAAAAGATTTGAATTTCAATTATGGTATGTTTGGGAACATGGATTTGGATTTCAAATCCTGAATTGGCTCAAAATTCCATGTTTGGGAAACTTACAAATTTTGAATTTGGATTTGAATCAAATTTTTCTCATTTATAACAAAGCTTAATTTTAAATCCATTCGCCTCCCCTTGTCATTTGAAATTCAAAATTTCTCATTTTGAAATTAAAATACATGAACTGAAATGAAATCATAGTTACCAAACACCACCTTATAAATTTTACATGTTTTTTATTTATTTATATATAGATTGTTTTCCATTAACATGTTTATGGTATATCATTCATTAAATTCTAGAGGTTGCTAATTGCTATTACATTTTGCTTGATTTTTTAATTGTTAACTACGAAGAAAATAACATAGTAAAAAAAAAATTTTCTACTCATGCACAGGTTAAATACAGTAGTTTTAAACTTTTAATGTAAAATGATGAGTTGATGACCCAACATCGCCACTCGCGAGTAAGGAAACGACAGCTCTGAGGCTCTAACGGGTACAAGCCCCCCATATTCTCAATTTCAAACTCGACCTATATAGGCCTATCCCCAACAGTCATATTTCTCATTTCTTCATTTCCTTGCCGGCCTAATTCCGCATTTCCCAAACCCTAAATTTTGGAAAACTGCGTTCGAGAAATCCGATTGTTCCCAGCCCAAATAAATTAAGACGTTTTGATGGACATGGGCAGTTCATATTCCCGAAAAGGGGCTTCTTTGTCGAGCTTTTCTCCTGTTCCTGAACCATTTCCTTCTGGTAAGCCCTTGAAGCTGATATGTAATATTATGTTCATTGAAAGAATAGGTCTCTGTTTTTATGATCTAGGAGCGGATTGAAAATGGTGGAACTCTAGTCTTCTGTTCTGTTTTATTAGCTTTCAAATTTGTGCATTTCTTGATATATGTGAATATCTACAGTCGTTTAAATTGAATATCTTGAAAAAAAACATCTTGAAACCTAGATTTTCTTGCCCAATGTAGCTGTAAATTTGAGCCTAAAGTCAATTTCCCCCTTTTAAAATGTAAGTTCAAAGATCTGCAACTAGATGAGGGATAAATTTTTTTGTTCAATGGATGTTTAATTTGTTCTCTTTTCTTGTGAAGGAGGGGAAAGGAATGAGAATTTGATGCATCCTCAGAAACCAGTGACTAAGCAGTTCATGTCATCCACCAAAGAAAGGAGTGTTTTGGGTGAAAGGAATGAAGCTAACTCTTCTCATAGTCCTATACAGAAACCCCCAACTCATGTTGAAAAAACTAATCTCAAAAATTCAAGATTTCAATACCCTAACAGATCTTCGTTGGCTGTTTCTGAGCCCGATGACGATGATTCTTCTTCCAAGCAGTATGACCCTTTAAGAAGTAATTACTGTTCTCCTCGGCCTAAGTATTTGCGCTACAGACCAAATAGGCATCGCGAGCTCATACTTAATCTTGAAAGTCGGGATTATGGTGTTCAAAGATGCATTTCTGCTGGTGATGGTGGAAATGGGGTATCAGAAGATGATGCAACAGGGAGGGATGAGGATGAAACAGATGATGAAGAGGAGGAGGAAGAAGAAGAGGGATATTTGGAAGACAGCCGACAGAGTTCCAATTGGTTCTTAAAACTTCTGCTTTTCACGGTTGCTGTGCTCCTGTCGCCTTTGTTTGTATCTCTGTTGGACAACTCTCCATCTTCACCAGCCGAACCAGTTGCGTATGGCTTTGGAGAAATGAACAATGTACTTTGGGGTGTTTCTTTGAATGGAAGTGCGAGTGAGTATCAGAATGAAATTGAAGTGTCACCAAGTGGTATTACTTGGGAATCGGATGAAAGGGTAGAAATTGGTGATGGGGTAGAATTTCCTGTGGATGAAGAGGAGATGTTCACTGGAACTAGCAATATGCCCAGTGAAGGTCAAGAAGAAAAGCTAGAGAAAGAAACTACTGAAAGCGTTGCCGGTGAAGTTGAAGAAGGTTTTGATCAACTCCCTCTGGGAAACAGCGAAGACGAAGAAGGTTTTGATCAACCCCATTCTGTTGGTGAAATGGAAGAAAAAGGTGGTTTTGATCTACCAGTGCAGCATGGAGCTCTTGAAGTGACTGGTGAGAGACTTTCTGAAAGTAAGAATTATGCTTCTGATGTTATTCAAGAACTTGTTCAGGTAGAGCCTGCAGCAGCTTTGGTAGAAAGCATCAGAGAAACATTCCTGGAGGAGACAGATTCGTCTGATGATTCCATAGATTCTGATGATTCCAAGGATGAAGATACTGTTCCAGGGATAATATATGACGATTTCAAAGATGAAGATACTTTTCCATGGAGAATTTCTAATGATTCCAAAAATTATGCTGATGTGGCAGTGAAACTTTACTCAAAACTCCAACAGATTATGCTCACACCAGCAGCCATTACCATTGTTTCCCTCCTTCCAGTTATTCTTGCATATGCATATTCTGCAAGGCAACAACCAAGAACTTCACATGAACAATCCAATGCTGTTCTTGACCCACCACCACAAAAGGTGAAAACTGAGAAAATTGAATCCAATGCCAAAGCTTCAGCTTTGATTGATCCTGTTGAAGAATACCGTCGATATACGGCCTCCAATCTGTTCCCCCCTCTTGAGCACTCATCTATAGTAGAAACGGAGGCCACCCGAGGAACGAAAAAACTACCCGGTGTGAAAAATGCAGAAGACTCTTCTTTTTTGGTTGGCTCGGTGAAAGATTCAGTACAAGAGCTTAGTAGCCACAACAAAACTCTTGAAGTTGAGCTTCTTGGAGAATTTGTGATAGGAGAAGCCAGCAGCTCCTTAAGAGCTTGTGTTAGGAAACCCAGGCTGCTGCCTGAAACAGAAGAGAGCAGTTATAGTTATTCCTTTTCTCAAGCCAGTGGTGGATCATCAAAACTTCATCACCCTCCCATGGAGTCCCCAACATCTGACTCCTCATTTGGAAGAAGGTTTTCCACCACTGAAAAGAAACAACTACCCAAGAAGAAAGAGGTAAATTTTATTCTTCAATTTGGGATTCATTACACCATCCATTACTCTTTTTTTTTTTCAAAACTTTGTATCCATCATCTCCGATGGAGCCAAAATTTCACCATTTTTTGGCTTTGGGGTGTGATGGAATAAATCAAAATGGATATCTAAACTGTCTATGCTTCTTTAATTAATGAAGTAGCAGTTAGTCAAGCAATGCAACTTTCGACGTTGAGCCGGGAGTCTCTTTGGAAACAGCCTCTCTACTTTCGAGTAGGGGCAAGGTCTGCGTACACACACCCTCCCCAGACCCTACTCTTGTGAGATTTAACTGGGTTGTTGTTGTTGTTTGCTATGACAGAGAGGCAACGATGGAGAGGGCACCAAGAAGGGGGTGATCACCACAACTCCAGTTAGGCGGTCGAGCAGAATCCGAAACAGAGGGGTTGTTATGTCTCCATGAACAATCATCATTCAATTCAGCAAATTTCTTTTTTTTTTTGTGTTATTTTCATTAATTAAAGAAACAGCAAACTGTGCTGTTTCATAAGCTAGAATATCTACAATGTTCATAAATGTAATAGCATTGGATAATGATCTTTATCTTTAATTTGGTTGCTTGCCCACTCCCCTTGTTTTATTTCTTGATATTCTTTATATCTGTCCTCTTATCTGAGCTCGGAGTAAACTACTTGCGTGGGATATGCTCAAATATATCACATCAAACAAATGAAATAAACTTTTCCATAATACTATGTATATTCCTAGTTTGGGAATTAACAGAAATCAACACTAAAAGCAATTCAATTTCTCCTTCTATGAAATCAGTAAAATAATAAATCAATAAATAAATAATCCCGAGAAAGACTTCGACGCGCACACATCATGGGTGGTTCTCCTTCACAGGAACCAGAGGGGGTTTGCTACTCCTGCTGCTGCTGCTAATGAAGCTTGTTTTTCCTCTTGTACTTTGAGAAGAAGAAGATGGTGATGATGGTGAAGTCTTCTTAGTGATGATTGGTGTAGGAGAAGTGTGTGATTTGAAAGCATCCAAACCAGCCCTTAAACTCTTGCAACCCATCTTTCTTCTTGTGTATGGTCTTTCCTTCTTTGGTAGGTCTTCTATGCTTGTCACCTCTGACAGTGAAGTGAAGGATTCTGATTTACCATTGTAAAATTTGGATAGCCCCCCCTTTCTGTTCAATAAAGAGTAAAAACACCCACATCAGAATTTAATCTCTTTTTTTTTGTTTTTTTTTTACCATGGGAGGGAGGGGAATCAATTGAAGAATGGAGACAGTAAAAAAAAAAACCCACCTGGACCTGGGTAATTGGTTCTTGAGAGATGACATGTCAAGCAAGGAGGGTGGTCCATTGGATGATGGACATGAAGTTGGTGAAGAAGATGATGATGCATCATCTGTGGTGTCCAGAGAACACAGTATGGGTGATGATGATGATGATGATGATGGTGTGGGATCATCCATGCTCCCCATCCATGGCTGAGGAGGATCCATGAAATTATTTTCCCGGCCAAACCGAAACCATTGATGATCTTGGTGATGATGATGACGATGAACAACAGCCAGTTGATTCATGTTGCTGAGATCTGCTGATTCTCCTTCAAGAACCTCTTTATTATTCTTATTCTTCTTAATATGAATGAATGAAGAAGAAGAAGATGATGGAGAGCTCTACGTGGGAGGCATAGGCATATTTATATATGGGATTGGGATGGCCATAAATAAATAAATACTCCCAATAATAAAGATAAATACAAGCTGCTACTACCCTTAGATAGGTGGTGGGTGGGTGTGCTTTGTGGATTGGTTTTGGTTATACTTTTGGACAATCAAATCTTATCACATGTTAGCCTCACGAAAATCCTGCACTGCCATACATGGAGTGGGACCCCCAGCTATTATCATGGTAAGATTCCTCAAAAATATTATGATGGATAAACATTCTCCCGGATATATTATATACTTTCCAAAAAAACAAAAAACTACGAGTAGTAGTTTGATTTTACTTAAAAAAATAAAAGGAAATTTGGTTTTGGAAATTCGAAAAGAAAATATGGATAAACTTTTTACCCATTATTCCATATTTACATGATCCCTCAATAAGATACCAAAAACAAACCGATGCATTCCATATTTACTTTACTTAAATTACCGTTGAATTTTCCTTTCTGAAAACACCTCCGAAATCTTTCTCAAAAGTAGTAGTTACCTCATCCAATATTCACTTACTAAAATTGTCTTTGAATGTTCCTTTCTAAAAACATTATCTCCAATCTCTACCTCAAAAATAGTTTGGTTTTTGTTCGCTCGGTTTGATACTCGCCGTCTCAGAATATAAATAGAATATTTAACTAACATGTTCAAAAATCCAATCAAAATTCTAAAATAAATTATGACATGTTAGTTAGAAATAGAAAATCTAACAACCATGTTCAAAAATTAAATAAAAAATTCTATAAAATAAGTGGTGACATAATTTTTTTAATTAATGAAAAATCAATACAAACAAAAATTATCGAAAATCTTGAATAGAAAACATGAAGATATTTTTGGGATAGAGACAATATAATATTAATAATAACATTTAGAAATACTACCGAACAATAATAGTTTTTGTTGAAACAATAAAAAAAATTTATTATTGTGATTGCACTTAGGGTCTGTTTGGGAATAGCGTTAGAGATTAGCGTTAGCGTTAGCGTTTTGGATAAAATTTTAACGGTGCAGATTATTTTGAAAACGCTAACGCTAATCGCTAACGCTATTTCCAAACAGGCCCTTAAAAAATTAAAACCTTCTAAGTTTCCTACGTGCTTGAATAAAAGAGATCAAGCCACATGTTGTTCAAATTAATTAGAGTTGGTGAATAAACTGAATAAATTTTCAAGGTGTGATTAATAGGAACACTTTCCTTAAAATTTATTATATACTTTGCTATTATAAAATAGAACTTTTGAAATACAGGGAGATCAAATTGATTGGTTGTTGTTCAATACAATTTGTTAATGTAGTTTACTAATAGTTTTCTCAAGACAAAGATGGAAAAATTTGTTAAAGTGCACTAGTCCTTAAAACATGTTACTCTTATTTTGGGGATAAGCGATAAACTAAGTTTTGCTCTTATTTTGGTCAATTCTTAAAGAAAACCCCCTAAATAGTAGTAAAACATATATTATATCTTCAAAGTAAGAGTTTAAACTTTAACTCCTCTAAATAGGAGTAATTAACTAATTTAAGTTTTGGCTTAGATTTTCTCTCTCTAGAAGAGGGGTTGTGAGCAACTAGCTTAGCCCAATAAATTTCTTAAGTTTGTTCATCATTCGAAACAAAGATTCTTGATTTTGGCCAAGATTGAATTTTCGAGCACTGTTCCCAGCGCAACTTGGAATTCCAATCATGAGCATGTTTTTGCTGTATCTCTTCTCTATTTTTTGGGTGTTTCTTGGTAGAATTCAAGGAGTAATAAACTATTTTTTTCATTTACAATAATTATAATATAATATTAAATATATAGAATATATTTAACACTCCTTTCACCCCTCTCCACCATTTATGTTGCCTTCGAGAGATGATACTTTTATAGCCTTGTGTAAGCTTGAATTCAATTTCATATTCAATTTGACATAAGTGGTTACATTTAATTTGAAATCTGAAAATTTACTTCTTATAGAATTATTTTATAAAATCAGTACTAATTCTTTCAGACGTGCGTAAGTTTGAATTCAATTTCATATTCAATTTCACATTAGTTGTGACATTTGATTTTAAATATGGATTTACTTCTTAGGAAATTATTTTATAAAACTGGTATTAAAATTAAATGATTATGGTCTTGGCAGATCATAGAGTTTCTTGACATTTAACTTTTTTGGACATTATGCATTAACATGTGTGATATGTAACATTATACATGGGCATATATGTCATTATACGTTGTCATTTGTGGCATTATAAATTATCATGTTTGGCATTATCTAGATGATCAAGTCGACTATGAATAATGTGGTCTCCCTAGATGAGGTGGTGCACAACCAGCTATGAGTGATACAATGACATATTTGTTGTTAATCAGTGCTATATTTGGCATTTTGCTTCTCTTTGACATTATATAGTGGCATATTTGTACTTGTTAGTGGCTATGTTTAGCATTATATATTGTAATATTTGGCATTGTGGTATTGTTGCATTGTATAAAAAGTATTTTTTTCTTGACAATCACGATAAGACCATAATAATATGTACGACGAAGATGGCAAATCCCGGTGGTGTTGGCGGCGAAGGAGGCGAGCTTGGTGATGTAGGACATCATCGGCAACACTCGATTGAATGGTGCGGGGCACGATGGTAGGTCATGGGTAAATGCAGATGGTGTCGGTGGCGACGTGGCGGACTTGGTGATGTGGGAAATCACTAACGATAATATATTGCACGGTGGCGGCGGGCACGCGGGGGAGTGTGGTAGGCAGTTCTTGGTAGTATATATATATGTACAGGTATATTTATAACTATAGATATTTAAAAAAAATTGAAGAAGAAGAAGAAAGAGCATACACTACTCTTATGTCTATGAGAAGTTACAAAAATTAGAAACATTATGGAAGTATTATCTTTGGTCCGCAACATTTTGGCTTCATTCAACAAAACTTTCGCAACCTTTTCAGCTGATCGTTCTTATTTCTTTTAAATCTTGGACAAGTTGATTAATTAAGTAAATTACTCCTATTTAGGGGATTTTAAGTTTCAACTCTTATTTTGAGGATATGATATATGTTTTACTCCTAGTTTGGTCCTTTTCCCCAATTCTTAACAAAATACCCAAAATAATAAATTTTTCTTCATCATTTAAGATAATCAATAAAATAATAACTAATCAAAAATTATTCATGTACATATATTCTCCAAATTATTGTTTCACATAGTGGCTAATGGTCCTATTTATAAGAAAGATTGTGACATTTTAAAAATTGACATGTTCCTGGTATGAAATATGAATCCTATCCGTTTGTTTCAAATTGACCGAGTTTGTGCTCAGATTCTTGATTGGGCATACTTTTGAGTTGCCAGGGCATGGATTGTGTTCTCAATCTATTGTCAAATGTTTTAAATTTTCAAAATAGTACTATTATTCAATGTTCACTGGACATTGTTCAAGTGAATTCTCATCACCGATGGATATTGTTTAAGGTAAATATCTGTCACCACTAAACATTGTTCATGTCACTAGACATTATTTGAGTACTATTTCTGAAATAAAAAAATTTATGTAGTACATTGTGAAAGAGATATGTTTTAGTAGTACTTAGTGCAAATTTCACATTGAACAATCTATAAGTTGTCATTCATAATCGGTCGTCACCTTGCGAATTTAAGCTGGACTTAACTAGCAAGGGGACAATATATATGACTTATTCGAGTTAGGATCCATTACCCACTTTGCAGTGCCAAAAGCTAAGCAAGATGAGAATGGATCATCTAGGCCCATATGAAAAATGATAAGGATGAAAAAATATCTTAAAGGCTATAATAGTGATTGGCAGATTAATATCAATCACAATCGTATTATAGTAACTCACATGTCTATAGTCGTGTCTCATGTCAACATTATAGTAGCTGACGCCAACATTTTTCTTATAAATGTACTTGTAAATCTCCATTTGAGAGATCTGAGTCCTAATTCTTGTAAGCTTTAAGCTATATTGTTGTCCATATATATATTATGGGATATTAATAACAATTAGGCTATGAATGTTTGTAATCTCAGAGGTTGTTTGGCAACTTCTGAATAGGTAAGTGCTGAACCAGTAAGAGGTCTGAACCATTAAGTGTTGAACCAGTAAGAGGTCTGAACCATTAAGAGCTAGTATATTGTAAATGTTTGATCAATTCAGATAAGAGGTCTTAATCATTCAGACTTTGTATAATACTTAACCATTCAGAGGCAAATGTCTGAACTATTCGATCAGACATCTGCTCACAAAACAAACAATCTAAACTATTAAGTGCTGAACCATTCAGACATCTGAACCATTAAGAGGCTGAAACAAACAGCCCCTTAACCTTTCAATCATTTCATTGTTACAATTGGGTAATTAGTTTAAGGATTTTACTCTTTATTATAGACCTGATCAAGAGTTGATAGAATTTTGGTGGGTCGAGTGAACTAGGCGGAGTGTTGGGTGAGATTTGACCACTTACCTATAAAAGTCCGAATTCACTATTCTAGGAATAATGATTTAAGATCACCTAGATATTATTTGGCTCAACCTAGGCATATGCATAAATAACCCGAACGTGATATGTTACTATTGCAATCGGGTAGGACACATAGCACCTGTTTATTTTGCTAAACATAGGGATTTATCGTATTGCTATGATTATTATGTTCCTAACCATCAAG